AAAGTGCAATGTTTAATAATTTTTTCGGCGGAGAGTTTGGTTTGATGCGGCAATTCTATTGGGCGTCAGAAATTTTTGAAAAGAGCATGAAATAATTGTTTCGACCTCTGCCAATCACTGAAAAATTGTCCGATTTACATTCGGTTTGGACATGGTGGCTTGTTTTTTTAAATAGAATTGATTTCTGAAATAAAAAAGTAGGGGTGCCATTTAAAAAGTTCGATTTACGGGTGGGGCACCCCCACCCGCGCCCCTCCCGCGGTTTGGGAAAATGTCAAATACGCCAAAAGGTGTCCTCCTTGATATAAACGAACACGCCCTCTACCGTTTTTCGAAATTCCGACGCGTTCGCCAGATATTCAAGGTGGCTCCCCTTTGGTGAGACATCCTGTATATTACTCTTCAAATATGAAAGGGAGGGATCAATTATATTTTATATTTCTTCTCTCTGTTCTTCCGTTACGAACCCGTACGCAAGAAGAAAATACGTTTATTCCGAATTAATAAAATTTAACAAACGATTCCTCATCTGTGAGGTTCATTTTTTTTCCAAGTGACATATTTCCAAGCATGACGAGGCTGACTACACCACAGCAAGGTATCTAATTACCGCAGGCATATTGAGATCATCTACAAAATATATCATGAATTTGTTTCCGGGTGGTCCGTAATTGCGGCCAGCTTTCTTCTCCAAAGATTTCTCAAGGACTTTCTGCAACATTTCTACAATGGAACAAAAGGAAAATGGTCAGAAAATAATTTATTCCAAAATTGCATTGTTGAATTCAAGCATCAAAAGGACCATCTCTGTCCTCCTCTCCTAGGTTTTCGACTTCGGAGGTCAAACATGTTTGGTCAGTTATTATTGATTACCTAATTGTCTTGAGCTACAAGTTTTCGTGCTGGGTAACTTCTAGTTCTGATGTATCAGACTTAGGGGGCTTATTAAATATAGTACGGTTTATGTGTGAAAATAACAATACTTAATAAATCCGTCTTTATACCTACTGATCTCTTCACGGAAAGCAGCATCTGATAAAAATACTCAGAGAATATGTTTGGGTCCAATTTACTGTTTAAGAATTGTAATGTAGAGAGATTGGCTCTATCAATCAACTCAGGCTCAGTAGTACTACATCCTAACAAATTCAGCTCCAAAGGTACCATATTTTGTCGTAAAAACTCAAATGAAGCTTTCGGACCAACTTTGATGTGAAAAGAAAAGGATGTTTTTAATTCATTTGGAACATTACAAAATTCAATTCTAATTTTTCGTAAGCTCGTCCTAAAAAGGAACTTCTGTGAACTTCGTTTCGCGAGTCATTTGTTACGTTATCATAATAATGTTGGATTTGTTCTTTAGCTAGTGGTTCATTGTAAAAAGAAATATGAAAAAATATCCTCAAAAAATGTGAATCTACTATTCTTTCAATTTCTGAACTGATATGATCCGAGTTATGAAATAATCTCATGATATCTTAGGAGGAACAAAATAATAGAGCCTTAAAGAGTTTCTGTCTAAAAATAGTCTACAGGGTTATCCAAAAGTCACCTACCACCCCTGTAACTTTTTTTTTAATTGAGATAGAATTTTGAAACTTTGGGAATGTTCCTCGGTATAAGATAGCAACTTTATTGTCCCCCCAAAATTTTGGGGGCGGCCTCCCCTAAGAGGGATGGGGGCTAACTTTTTTTTTCAAATGGCAACCCCCTTTTTGTGAAACTTCGAGAGAACGAATCTTTCATCGGATTTTTGAATTTTTCAAAAACTTTATAATGGCGGCGAAAAAATGACGGAAAATCTTTATCACGGCTGTTTACCGATGAATTTACAGAAAAATCAATACTTTGGTGGTTTTTGGCTCGAAAAAAATTAATCTTTCAGTAGATTTTTGAAACACTGAATATCGTCAAAATGGTGGCGGAAAAATAAGGGAAAATTCGCATCCACCATCGCCATTCGCATTTTTGCCGCCATTTTAAAGTTTTTAAAAATTCCAAAAATCCAATGAAAGATTTGTTCTTCTCGTGCCGAAATACCCCCGGATACCAAGTCTCATACAAATCCGACGATAAGCAGCCTAAATATCCACTTTCCACTCTAAGCCGCCATTTTATCCGCCGCCATTTTGAGAAGGACTGAAATTTCTGGAAAACTAATGCCAGAATCGTTTTCCTCTTCCCGAAAATCCTGATGTACTGAGTCTCAGACCAATCCGCCGATAAAAAACGGAGATACCAAATTTCCGCCATTTTGTCAAAAATTAACATTCTGACCTGCGGTTTGCGTCAAAAATTTTCCTTTTTTATTATCTTTCAAATGAGGTATCACAAAAGGGGGGTTGCCATTTGAAAAAAAAAGTTAGCCCCCGCCCCCAAAATCTTGGGGGGACAATAAAGTTGCTACCTTAAACCGAGGATCATTCCCAAAGTTTCAAACTTCTATCTCAATTGGGAAAAAAGTTACAGGGGTGGTAGGTGACTTTTGGAAAACCCTGTATAGGACAGGACATAAAATTTTGTTAAATCACCTAGCCGATCTTATTTGTCAACGAGTTCTCCCAAAACATCCTATTTAAATGCTAGTGGTTTCTGAGGTATGCAAAAACTGAATCATTACCAGATGTAGTGTAAAAGTTTAGAGGAACATTTAAATGGGCAAAATTTTCACTGAGACTGCTCAGCTTTTCATTGACAATAATGGATTTTCCAGATCCACCTGGGCCGACTAGCATAACTGGTTTACGCATTTGAATGAATAATTTCAGAAAGTATTTCAGGCGAACTGTCTCTGCTGTGTGCACAAGAGAGGTCTATAAAAACAAAAAAACACTTGAAATAGCAAAAAGCAGGTACAGAAATACGAGTATGAAGATTCATAATTAATTCCTTTAATCTTATTATATTACTTATTTTCTATACCAAGATTTTTCTTTGTTATGATTAGTTCATGTATCTTTGGTAGTTTAATAGGACTAAACAATAGGACTATCCAACAGGGTGTTCAGATTATGAAAAGTTCAGCTGATTTTGAGCCCAGTTCAATCCAGGCATTACTTTCAAGGATCAAAAGAGCTGCGCAAGAGTTGTTTTCAGATGCTTTGTTCGAAAAAGAGGAGCTCCAAGATGAAAAGTAAATGATCGAAAGACGCATATCCAACGTATAGTGATGGACGAGTACCAAGACAAAGCACGAATTTGAGCAATCTTCTACTTAGTTCCTCTTTAAAATTTTACGTAGAATACGCTTTGCACGTTGGAAATTACTACACTTAACCTATATACAAAATATTATAACACTTTTATAAAGCACTGTTTATGGATTTGGGTCCACCTTGAGTAAATGAGCTAAAGGGTTCATTGATGCAAATTTACATAGCCTTGGTTCATTTATTATGAACGGGTTCAATATGGCGATGTACTCAAAACTGATTCATTGAATTGAAAATTTTGAATTTCCTGCTCACAATAAAAACCGGATTCTACGCGAATCACATCGCAAGCTACAATGTTTTTGGAAGGC